CCAACCCTAGCGTTCACCCTTCCTCTGAACTTCCGGTTATGCGAGATAAGAAGGCTCCTCATTATTTAAGCCGGCATGAGTCAGCTTTTCTGTTACTTGTAGCCAAAAAGCATCTTTGCTGCTACACTCCAATGAACTGCAATTACCTCAAGGGCGAGGGAGGATATTCACTATCATTTGAGACCATCTCGTAACTACAAGTCTACAATCAAGCAACACGCTATTGTTGTGATAGTACATATTCAACATGTATGGTTTTCCCCTTATCATACAACTTATGGAACGATTACTCAGGCAAAGAGACTTTTTATTAATTAGAGAGAAAAACTATGAGCAATATTTAATTAATCAAAAGTAGAACAGAATATCCACTAGATTTGTAAATAGTTACACGTACTAGTTGTCCTTCCCTTGAGGGTCTGCCTTTAATTCTGGTCAAAGCACACACATGGGGAACAACTCAACTTGACTGGGCTAATCTGGACATAAGCTCTTAAAGGTGATGTAGCAAATATATAGTTTATACCTCATAGGGTTACCATGAGAATTTAGCAAAATACTGTAAGTAGAGCCTAGCACAATGTTTAGTACATGGTAAATTTATATAATTTGGTTCTTGACATAGCATATTTCCATCAGCCCAAAAAATTTCCTCATGACAATATATGGCCAATCCCTCCCCAGCCCCTGGCCACCACTGATCTGTTTTCCATCCCTATATTTTAGCTTTTCCAGAGCGCCACACAAACCAAATCTCCAGGGCGGAGCCTTTGCCTGAGCGTCTGGTTCCTTTCATCTGCCACGCAGTCACCGGCAATGAGGCCAGTGAGGCTGGGACCCAGTGAGTGAAAAGGAACTGAACCCGGAGAGGTGGCAGGGCCAGGTCACACAGGGCCTTGTCCGCCACAACAGCAAACTTGGATTGATACGGGGGATAGAAAGCCACTGGAAGGTGGAGAGCAGCTGAGCAATGTGATCTGATTCACTTCAAAATAATCTGGCTACTACTGTGTGGAAGATGGACCACTGTGGAGCGAAAGGAGGAAAAAGGAAGCCGTTCAGAGACGATTGCTGTAGTCAGGGTCAAAAACAGAACAGCAAACAGTGGAGGGGCCCAGAGGGGTCAGATCAGAGATGTCCTTGAGAGGACGAGATGCGGGACTGGATAGAGCACACGAAGAGGAGAGCGGAGGCCAGAATGCTCCACGATTTGGGCTGTAGAAACACGGGAGGTGGTGGTGGCATTTACCAGGATGGATGGAAGGAAAAGACGGGGGAGTTGGAAGGAGGAAGGACAGGGCGAGGGGTAGGAGAAGGAGAATGAAGGGTTTCATACATTTGGACAGCATCCCATACAGGTGATATGGCATCTTGCCGCTGACCATTCTGCATATCTGATTGGCCTTTGATAGAGAAAGTTCACTTAGCAATCCCTGACCTGTGACTCCTTTATGTAATACGGTGAGTGAAGACACTGAATACTTTCAGTCTCCACATCCCAGGGTTAAATTTTTAAAAATAAGGCAAGTTGTAAAGGTTCAGGGCTACAGAGCTCTTCCATGTCTCACCTTCATTTTCTACATGGACAAGAACAGCCCGTGTCTCCTAAGAAGCTCTAAATGTTACACAGACTTTTTCTCAGAATACATATTCCATTTGCTCAACTGCTCTGGCTCAAGTAAGTTAAGAACAGAAAACATTTTTAAATGATGGTGACTTTTCTTGCTTCCAAATGTTTCCCATTAACAGGTGAAAACGCACTTAATGGTTCCTCTTTCCCACCTTAGGAGGCTGGGCTGATGCTCTCGGGAGGGTGAAGGAGTACATTTTGCTTAGACGCTCAGTACGAGGAAAGCAATGTAGTGGCAACACACGTCGGAGAAGCCAGAGGGTATGGCGTGCAGGTTTACTTCATGCCTGCTTTCCTCAGGGAACCCACCTGTCCAAGTACAGGGATAGTACCAACCACGCCATTACTGCTCTTTGCACCCTGAGACCACCCAAATAGAATATTTGATACGGCAAATGATCATTCCTGTCAAAGCTCCATCCATCCATCCATCCATCTATCCATCCATCCATCCATTGGACCACTATCAACACATTTCCTGAAAGTCTTCTTTGATCTTAAAATTTCATGCAAATCTGTCATCTTTAAGGCATATAAAATGTATTTGTTTACTTACCGTTGATTACAATGGACAGTCCAGCTAGATGTAGTATAAGATTACTATGTAGAGTTGTGTAGTAGACTAGATCAGTCTAGCCTACAACAATTTTCTGTTGAATCGCATTAAATGGCCTTGAGGACAAGGCCCCTTTTTTTGAATATATAAAGTAGCCCTGGACTTTGAGTGACTTTAGCACAAGACTGAGGCAGCCAAGTTTATGAAGAAGTCAAATTCCTGTGAAAAAAAAACAAAGCCCCACGTGTAGTTCAGGGCAATTCTAGGTTTGATCCCAGGCTCCTTTCCCAGTTCAGGGGTAGCGTGTTCTACAAGCAACATGCTACCTCTGTGAACAAGGCTGCTCTTCTCAGGTGTGTGGCTTTCTAAGGCACTCTTGCATTTCTTTGCTCAGGCTAAAGAGAGGCCTTTGCATGCTGCTCAGGCCATTTGTTTCTGCCATGAATGAGACAGAGATAATTGAGGTGGAGGTGAAGGGAGAGAGAGAGATGACAGAATCAGAGATAGAGACACACACAGACATAGAGACAGACACAGACAAGAGAGACAGACATATAGAGACAGATAGAGATAGCTTCTTGGCAAATATTCAAAGGGTCAAGTTGTTAGTCTATAACTCCATGAAAGAAGGAACATGTCTAATACTCTTACCATGTATCCTTGGCACCTCGCTAAAGCTAAGTCACAGTTTAACACAGGGAAACATAACACTTCCTACCCGCCAGGTGGGGCCGAGTTCCTCAGATGCCTGCTGCACTCCCTCTGCAGCTGGGGCACAGTCTGTGCAAACCCCTGAGCCGCACTGCAGTGATCCTGGAAGTCATTTAGCCCAACTTCCCCAGTGAACAGTCCAGAAACAAGTCCCCAAGGGATGACAGAACCCACCCAGGGAACGTCTTATGCCACGTTTAGTTCCCCAAACTCATTTTCTGACCAACGGGTTGCGCTTTCCTAAACACTGCAATTCCTCGCCACCAATCAGTAAGTGATGATTGGAAACCCACACTATCAGGGACATCATGAACTGGAGAGCTGTGCCCTTAAGAACATTTTCCCAGGTCTGGTTTGAGTTGGACAATTAATCGTGTGTTTGAGAAGATAACACTTCACGCTCTGTTATTTGCTCCGTGCAAGGGCACTAAGCAGATAAAAGGAAATTTACTGAGAAATTAATATGACAGTGGGTTACAGTTATTCTGTATGTGAATGGTTAATTTAGAAAGCACAGCTGTTGAGTCATACTACAAACTGTGTACCTATTTATTTAGACTCCAAAAGAGAAACGGTATGACCTAGATCATTGGTTTAGTCTAATCTGATGATTAATTGAAAATATGTATTCAAGCTGTTATCTAAACAAAGGAATTTGTTTATTAAAAAAATAATATACTTTCCAGATTTTTAGCCTTATTTCACAAGCAAGACGTTAAAAACAACACTGAAACTTCATTTTAATAATTAAATAACTTCATTTATCCAAATGATGGGAATAGTTTGATAGTTCTGAAAGTTCACATGCTTATCCTATGTATTCTATTGTAGAATACTAACTCTCCTCAACAGAACTGAGCACATTATAGTGAAAGCCCAGTGTTATTGACACTGTTTTGCTGACACTTTCCCCTATATAATGACTAAAAACAACTTCTATTATTTCTTCCTTGTAAGAGGACTCTATTATTTAAATTAATAATAATTTAACTGCAAACTAGATGTCTAAAATAATTAAAATCTCCTAAGATATCAGTTTCCCAATATAAAAAATTTTGATTTTTCTAAAGTCTAGGAAATAATGCCAGTGGATAATGCATGGAGTGGGGCAAAAGTAAGTTTATAGTTGTAAGTACGGGAATCACGGAGTTTATTCTTATATTATTATTTATTAATTATGGCATTACTGTGGATCCTCAGTTCTCCATCTCAGTTTGCTCTGGAAGGCTGTTCAAGAAGAGATTTGTCCAAAAACAAAATCATTTTTCCTACTAGAAACAATGCAAATTGGATTAATCCGATGCAGACCCATAAAGGATTCCCTGCTTTACCCTTTCTTGTTTATATACAGCACATGTCTCATGTGCTGTTTAATCTGTAAACAAACACTTCTCTTCTTAAATAGATCAGAACCGCCCCCCCCCCCCCGCCCCTCTAGCCAAAAAGGAATCACTTTCAGCTCTCCTTCAAGAGGGGTCTTTTTGGAGGTAGCATGCAGCATCTTGGCTTTGTCACCTATCACTGCCTCTGAAATGCTGTCACCAGCTGCTCTTCGTTTATCCAATTCAACCACAGTTTTTCTACCTCTTCAAATTGCCTGTGATCATCTCTTTCACATCCTTAGCAACATTAGCACTCTTGATGGGTTTTTTTGTGTTAAAATTGTGCTAATTGTGGATTTCACCAGCAGCAAAATCATTCTTTCCATTGTTTGTTGCCTGAGAGACTTTTTTTTTAATTTTACCTACACAATTATTTATCTATTTATTTATTTATTTATTTATTCATTCATTCATTCATTCATTCATTCTTAATGCTGAGGTATCAGCATGAAAGGGTTCTCAGATTGGAAAACTGAAGTTTGGTTCGACAACGGAGACATTTTCCCCATGGACAACTAGGTGGAGAACTGAACTGTTTGAGATGGAAGACATCTGAGAACTGAGGCTTGACTGTCTTTATTTGTATCACAACTGTAAGTCTACTTTTGCCCACCCCTGTCTTAGGGAAAGCAAAGCTGTGCGTGTCCACGTAGCTTCCGTTCCGAGGGTCTCACTTCTTTGCTGGGCCAGCGCACAGCGCAATGTCAGTGGCATAGGATACCGGGTCATGGCTGGCTTCAACGGAGCTTCCACCAGCATGGAAAGCCATCCGCGCGGGGGCTAAGGTCAGGCAGGCCACACACTCTCTGCCACTATATGTCTATCACAGTAGTGCACCTATAACAGAACGCACACAGTCTGCTGAGCTCCGCGGCGAGAGGCAGCCAGGGCAACAGGCCTTTTCAGAGGGTCCAGACTTCAAGGAAAATTCAAGTAAGTGATGCAGCACACACTTCAAACATTTAAAACTTTATCGGGACCTTCCAGCATCTAGGAGAGGGCTATTAATGCTGCTTTAGTATATTTTCCAACTTTTAAGAGTTTAGGAACCAAGGATACACATAAGTCAAAGTTTGTTTGATGCTAACGGGACTCTGTCAACCTGACTTTTCTCTCATCTTTGACTCTACAGGTGTGTGTGACTGCCACCTAATTGGTAGTGACATTCCTCTACTTATATATGATAGTCCCTCTAAAAGCACTGTTAAATGTATATATTACTACATCATGTTCCGCTTGAAATGTTGACATTGCAGTCAAAGTGAATTAAACTAAGGAGATTTGTAATGTGCAGACCAAAATAAAGTTACCATAATATTATTTTTCTGTTAGTGAAGTACAGCCAAGCATTATTAAAAGCACATGTCAGAAGACACTCCCTATCAGAGGTAGGGGACGGGGGTGAGGGCGGTAGGGGAATTGTGAGTCCATCTCCCCACTGGGAAAATGCCCACTCTTGTCCCACCTATCTACGGTCACAAGAGTTCTTTCAAGCAGTATTTTATTTTCACTCGAAGCTAATAAAGTAAAAATAGCCTTGCTTTTGTGATAAATTACTAACTACACCATAGGAAAAAATGATTTCATTAGTTACAACATGCTCAATTTGTTAAATTTGTGTAGATTTAGGGTAAAAATCTAGATGAAAATCTTGAATTTGTGAGGCAGAAAATTAAAACACATACTAGTTCCCTATCTGAGGTTTAATTCTACTTGCTGTATAATACCCATATATCTTCATTACAGATTATGGTACACAAATATTTTTGTTATGTTTAATATAGATCTAACTGAAAATGACAATATGAATCCTAGCCTAATGGTTGAATAATTTCACTTTTTTAAACAAATAGGATTGTTAAGATTGCCCGTCAGTTTCTCTGAAGGTAAGAAACTCCCTCGAGTTCAAAGCAAGTCAATAAATAAAACCTTGTCTCCAAAGCACTTTAAAGATTTTATTATAAACATATTTTTCCTAGTTAACTTGGGGGAAAAGATTTGACCGCAGTTCTAATTCAAGGTGTTATACCTCCTGAGCAAATTAAAAGGTCGCTCAGTATATATGAATTCATGACTGTGGAAGTATTATTTACTATGCATCAGCTAAATATGATGGGGGAACTGAAACTTCCCACATAGTGGGTTTAAGCAAAAGCCAATATGCTAACAAGGTAATCACTATGGTTCACAGCCATTTAGGATCCAGTTAAAATGTTCTTGTCACATATAATGTTGTTATAAAACATACTTTTAAAAATATAATCTAATCACCTTTGATATCAATTGGAAGTCCATGTGAAAGACATGACACTTCCCGAAATATCCAAATTGATAGTGAAAATGCTTGTATGTCGGCCAAGATGCATCATTAAGAATAATATTATATTAGGATAATATCTGTCACTGACCTGTCCTAAAGCTTTTTTCTCAATCCTTTTCATAACTAAAATCAACTCCTTTATAACTAAAATGTAAACATATATTTAACATGCTCAGTCATGTACCAGTGTTCTAGCTATATGAGTAATCTGTTCCACTCTGCATGCAATATGCTTGTCACACTAATGCCTCAAGAAGGGTAAGTAAATGAATGAAATCGCATTATACAGACTTGTAATTACTTCCTCTTTCTTTTAGAATTCTCCACGTGGGATAAACTTTGAAAATTACATGCCTATGTTTGGTGTACAAAAATCTATCAGTAATGCACAGAATTATTTCTAATACAAGTCTACAGACAAAAACTGTCTAACAATTGCAACAACTTAAGTGTGGCAAATATTGTTAAAGGAGATAATACATTCTTACACTAAGTGATGAGTATGTACACAGCAAAAAAACCTAAATTTTGTTCTTAGCTTTTCAGTTTTCAAAAACAAAACAGTAAACCCAGAATTTTATATCCAGTAAAAATATCCTTAAGCACTGAAGAAAAACCCAAACATTCCCAAATGAATATAAACTGAGAATACATTGCCGGCATACCTACCTTAAAAGAATGACTAAAGTAACAAAGAAAATGATAAAAGCAGGACTCGTAGAACTCCACCAGGAAGGAAAAAAACACAGAAAGGAGTAAAAATGTTGGTAAATACAACAGAGTTTCATTCTCTTCTAAAATTCTCTAAGTTATGTTTGGCATCAGAAGCAAAAATATAACTCTGTCTAATATGGTTCTAAACATATGGAGAGGAAATATTCAAGATAATTATACAGAGTGGTGTATAGGTCATTGAGAAGGGCACATCGCTTCTGTGATATTCCTATCAAAAATGCACCTCAATCAAATAATGAGAAAATATCAGGAAAAACAAACAAATTATTAACATTCTACAAAATAAGTATTCAATATTATGCAAAAATGTCAAGATCATAAAAGGCTAAAGAGCTGCTACTTGATCTTAAGCGACATGGCAATTAAATGCAATGTGGGCCAAAACCGGTTTGGCTCAGTGGTAGAGCGTCGGTCTGCGGACTAAAAGGTCCCGGGTTTGATTCTGGTCAAGGGCATGTATAATATATTGGTTGCAGGCACATCCCTGGTGGGGGGTGTGCAGGAGGCAGCTGGTTGATGTTTCTCTCTTATCAATGTTTCTAACTCTCTATCTCTCTCCCTTCCTCTCTGTACAAAATCAATAAAAATTAAAAAATAATTAAAAAATAATAAATAATAAATGCAATGTGGGATCCTAGACTGGGTTTGAGACCTGAAAAAGAACATTGGTAGAAAAAACTGGAAAAATCTGAATAAGATCTGTATAAGATTAATTATTGTATCATCATTAATGTCCTGGTACTGACAATTATACTATACTTATATAATTGTTAACTGTAAAGTCTATACTATTTTTTCTCCTTTTCTCTAAGTGTAAAAAAAAACACACATTTTAAAGGTGATTTGTAAGCACTTTCTTAAGTGCTTCAGAATAAATGAGACTTGAAAGAAGCTGAGAGCCTATTAGAATAAATAACAGATAAATTTAAGTTTTCCTATGCACATTAGAATTTTATACTAAAAGAATCTTTCAAAAACAAAAGAAGAGAATCAGTGGAGGCTAAATTTTCTCTTAATTAGAAAAATAAAGTTACTGGACAATGTGAGTACTTCCTACCTCTGATATAGGAAGGAAAGAGGATGCAGGAAAACAATTTCCTAGCATAAAAACCTGAAAATCACAATATCCAAACAATTATGAAAAAGAGGAGTTAAAGATTCCTCTATAAGATAGAGTTTTTGAGAGAGAAAAATAACAATATAGGTCTATGCAATTGGGACTAAATAACATCAATAAATGTTACTTAATTTACAAAAGTCACTGCTTAAACTGCAGATCCAATGAGGTAGTAACACCACCTTTCAGATTTTCAGCAATTTCTATTTGTTTAAAATATTTTTTTATTGATTTTAGAGAGGAAGAGAGATGGAGAAAAACATCAATGATGAGAAAGAATCATTGGTCAGCTGCCTCCTGCAGGCCCCACACTGGGAACCGAGCCCAGTATCTGGGCATGTGCTCTGACCGGGAATCAAACCTGTGACCTGGTTCATAGGCAAAACTCAACCACTGAGCCACGCCGGCTGGGCACAGCTATTTCTATTTTTAATCTAGGAAAGTATTACTATCTCCACCCTCAACTTTCTCCCCTATCATTACACACTGTTTCCACTGAAACTACTCTAAACAGGAAGCAGTAACCACCTCAACGCCAAGTTCTTTGCAGCATTTGACAGAGAAATATATGCACAACCAGGAGTGACTACTATTCCAGAAGCCAAGAGAAAGGAAAGTTCAAGATGAGATTAAAAGTTTGGAATTTGAATCCAGACAGGTTAACTGCCTCTAAAAACAAAATTCAAAACTATGCAGAGAAATGAAACAGAATCCAGTCCCTATAATGTATCATTCATAATAGTCAGAATGCAATCCAAAATGACTTGACCTAAAATAACCAGGAAAAAGTGACTCATTCTCAAGTGAAAAGGCAATCTATAGAGGCCACATCCAATGCTGAAATAAGCAGAAAAGCACTTATTATACTTACGTACAAGGTTATACAGGAAAATATGTATATAAGGAATGAATGAACTCACCAGAGAAACAGAATTTTTAAAGAAGAACCATATGAAATTATGAAAATGAAAATATCCAAGAGACGACAACAAAATAGATCACAAACGAAAGAAACGGAGGACAAAAAGCGTCTGGATATAGAGTTCAAATCTACGCTTATAAGGTTTTTCAAGAATTTCCTAGAAAAGATGGATAAGACCTATGAGGATATGAAAAGAGATCAACTAGAATTAATAAGGAGTCATCAAGAAATGATAAGGGATCAACAAGAAATAAAGAATACATTGTCTGAAATAAAAAATATTTTACAGAGTCCTAAAAACAGAAGGGAAGATCGCAAGAATCAAGTCAAAGATTTGGAACATAAAGAGCCAGAAGACACTCCTCCACAGAAGTTAGAAGGCAAGAGAATCCAGAAAATTGAAGATAATGTAAGAAACCTCTGGGACAACTTCAAGCGAACCAACATCAGAATTATGTGGGTCCCAGAAGATGAGAGAGAGCAAGATATCGAAAACATATTGAAAGAAATAGTGACAGAAAACTTCCCCCACCTGGTGAAAGAATTAGACTTACAAGTTCAGGAAGCACACAGAACTCCAAACAAAAGGAATCCAAAGAGGACCACATCAAGAAACATCATAATTAAAATTCCAAGAGCAAAAGACAAAGAGAGAATATTAAAAGCAGCAAGAGCAAAGAAGGTAGTTACCTATAAAGGAGCACCTATACGATTGTCAGCTGACTTCTCAACAGAAACCATGC